TCCAGCAGCTCAACTCTGTCCCTCATCATGAACGCAGGAGGCTGGCTGTATATCTGAATTTGCGCCCTCATCATTCTCTTCATCATCTTGCACTTGTTCTAAGCTGCTGCTGATAGTACTTGTAGCAGCGCTGCTGCCAAAAAGGTCTGTCAATTTGCGACATTTATATGCTTCACCTGCGAGTGACTTCACCTTTTTTTTTCTTGCCTTCTCGGCCCCACCTTTTTCTTTTCGTTTTCTTTGATTTGTATCCATGTGTTTTCATTCTCCCTGACTGCCGCGGCGTTTAATCCCTTCTCTTCGTGTGGCCGGTCTTTTTTCTTCTTCGTGTGTGATTAATTGACAGATAAGAACCACACAACTGCATTAGCGGCCGCTGTCGCCCTCTGTCGGCCGTCAGCGCAACTTAAATGATGCCGTTAAACACTTTTTTTTTTTTAAAGGGCCGGCCGTCAACGGCCCTTGACGACCGGCCGTTCTGTGGTTATCCAGATTCTCCAGATGGCCAGTCCGCCCCTGCCCACAGGATTCTTCAGATTGAATGTGAAGCCCATCTTGGCATCTAACTCTAACGCCTAATTTAAAAAAGGGCAAAGAGGCCTCGAAACGAGCCGCCCAGCTCGAAGCTTTTAGAGCTAGCTGAGGCTAACAAGCTAGGCTAAGCAGTGTTGCCAGTTGGCTAACCCGAGGTCTGTTGCTGTTGGTCTTGTACATTAATGTACTTTAAATGCATCCCCCAAACACAGGTTATCTTGGCAAAAAAAATCAATACTAACTAAAAATACAATGTAGCTTACTGGCTAATCAAACACCTTACAGATAACTTGATAACACAGTGGCTGTATTGCAACGATTTAGCTTGAAATCACTGAGATGGAATATGGAAATGGGAATTGAAATCTAATCTATATTCGATCATCATACACGTACACCATAGCCTACTTGCCAAACCTCCCGATTTTCGCGGGAGACTCCCGATTTCATTGCCCTCTCCCGGTTTCCTCCCGGGGTCATATTTCTCCCGATTTCTGACAAAATCAGATTTACTCACGACTGTTTCCACTCTGACTTTAATACAGCTACACCATTATGGGGGTTATTCCCTATCTTTATTCAAGAGCGTGGTATTTAAATTTGAGAGCATACTTTATTGATTTATTTCCCTCAAACCCTGTCCTCGCACTCAAATAGTGCCTGCTTGCGCTTAGATTTGCTCTGCTTCTGCTCAAACTGTACGCTTGAACTCAGATATATTGCTGCTTACAGATTTCCTGTGTTCCAGTTTAAAACCTTCTCCTCACCAGTAGCGTGGCGTGGGAAAAAAATTAGGGGAAGCCAATAATACGTCCTTTCTTTTGGGTCGGGGGTGTGGTGGTCAATGTAATAACGTAACCAGATGAGTGCTTATCATTTTACACATATTTGTATCATACAGATGCAGGACTTACACACACCTGTTATCTAACCGACAGGTCCGCACGCACTCTCCAGCCGAAACTCTAATAAGCATTCATGCACAAACTACATCAGGAGTCCTTTAACGTTTTACGTCCGATTTGCTCCTTTGTTCCTCGCTGTACACAGCTCCAGTTTGGGCATCGGCCTGTCATCAGATTGTATTTGTTGTTGCTGCTGTAGCGGAAGTTTAGTACAATTATTTTTGATGAAATACTCCAAATCTCCACCCTACATAATTGCACTTGCTTCAGTTGCTTGCTACTTTCTAACGGTGGTGAGAGTGATGCAGTGGCGCTATCTATCTTCTATCGATTAGATTTATGATTCGAAAATAATAAAAGTAGGGTAGACATGTGGATATTATCCGACTGAACAAAACTTGCATTTATCTAACAGGTTCGTTTTCCACTGACCTTATTTCGAGCTATTTTCCTAAATCCTATGGAGAAATCCCATTACTTTTTTGTCGAGGGAAACATGAGGGAAACCGACCGCAGCTTACTTCCGGATTTTAGGACGCGTCACTGCAACACTAAGTTGATGCGATTTGATTGGATTGTGAGGCAAGGGAAGCCAGCCGCCTCTGGCTTCCCTTGGCATGGCCCTGACCAATCACTGATTGGTCAATCCCTCCATTTTTATTCACCAAGGGAAGCCAGATTCGGCTGGTCTCCTCTCGCAACAGTGAGTGCAATCTACTGTTTCACCATAACATCTAGAGCAGGGGTACTCAAATACAAATCTTGAAGGTCCAAAATAAATGTTTCAATAAGACAAAGGTCCGTTTATTACGGTCATTCAAACTTTTAAACAATTGCAACAAGATTCTTAACACGAGGTTGCAAAAACTAAAATAATCTGTATGCAGCAGTTTTCATTGTTATTGTGTCTGTGCTTGACCCCTCAGAGTCGCAGTGTAAGAGCTGCACAGTTATGAATAAAGGCAGCTGCACCCTCTTTCATTCAGCATTCCCATTATTGCTTTATAAATGTATTCCCCCTTGTGTGTCCACTGAGGTTCATCAGGCCCAACACATCTTCAACAAACTCCCCCTTTGCCTCATCATAAAAACTCACAAACACCAGCAACTGAGCATTGTCAGTGGTGTCAGTGGACTCACCCACAGCTAAGGAAATGCACTGTGCATTTGTTATTCCATCACAAAGCTGATGAATCAAATCACCAGCCAGTATTTATGTTCTTCTGGTTGCTGTGGAATCTGAGAGGGGGATTTGCTTGATTTGACCTGTTATTTCCTCTTTTTGTTTGCCTTCAACATGGTCTCCATCACTTCAGTCATGCATTATTTTATACTTCAGTTATTATCCAGTGGAAAGTCCTTACCTACTGGCCTAGTTAAATCAAAGTGGTTACTTTTTTTTGGCTGGGCAGTGTACACACCATCTTATTTGACTTTCTCAGGACTTAAAACTGTTTTTTGGGGGCAGACGGACCCCACAAAGAAAAACATATATTTACACACGTAAGGTCATCATCTTAACAGTTTGTTATGCTCATCCGTGAGCAGCGCATCAAGTTGACATGTCTATTACAGCTGAATGCGGCGATTACCATTTTGTTCATCAAAACGCCTCACAAAATTAGTAAGTAATTAGTAGTAAGATCCAAAGCTTTAGTGCGTTTTGATTCAATGCTGAGTACAGCCAAACTGACAGTCTCTTCTCTGTCATTGTAGACCGCAAATACCTCATTCCTTCAGTGCTTGGGTCCGAATGCTTCTCGTTTTGCGCCGTCCAGTTCATAATGAAATCGCCGCCAATCGTATGTCCACACTTGCGCCAGGACCGGGGGAGGGGTTACATGACGTGCATCTTATGCTGCATTCACTTGCACTCGGACATTAGAGACTTTCTCTCATAAATGTCCGATGAGCCACAACTTTTCTTTCAAAACAAAGCTGCCAACTGGGGTGGCAAGGCCTATTTTTAGGGTGTCAGTTGCCACCCCGGTAGGTGAAACTAGGCTACAGTACAGATGGAACTAGATGAGCTGTTAACTCTCGCTCTGAATTTTTATTTTTTTTATTCTCGCTCTGACTTAGACAGGTTGAAAGAGACACACACATTTTTCCCACCCGCATTCCGCGAAGACACGCCCTACTGTGCCTCTGATTCGTAGATTGTTTGGGGGAAAAAACGCTGACTGGATGCTGAATGTGATTGGACCAAAGCGTTGACACACACAGGTGGAACACAGTGGAACAGTCAGACATGCAGAGCGCTGTTTGCAGTGGACATAGCGGAGAATTTTGACTTGTTGCGAATGCGTTGTGGCGATGTCTCACATATAATACAGAGAGATCATACATATGAAAAGTATAATTTGCTCAGAGTCCGGAGACAGTGGTGGTTCGGTCCGGATCCGGACCGGAGTCCGTAGTTTGAGGATGCCTGATCTAGAGGGTCGCTGTTTGTTTCACTCTTTGTAAAATACTCAATGAGAATGGGGGAGAGACGGGCCGGCAGCAACACACAGCAAAGGAGAATTATCGAAACAAAACAAAGTGTTTTTATTTATTTATTTAAATTATGAAATTCTCCCGATTTCTGAGGTCTCAAGGTTGGCAATTATGATACACAGCACCGCACATAGAGGGAATTTTAGATGCTGCAAATGAACTCATTTTAGGATTTCCATCTTTTAGGTCAATGAGATTAGGTTGTGGCGTCTCATAAACATAAATATTCTTTTTTTATATACATTTTTTATTTATCGACCTAGTTCGCTAACAGATGTATTTCGCTCACAACAAAGTCATGTTATTCTACATAAAGTATACGTAAAACAAAAAACATTAAATAAAACAGATATAATAGAAATAAAGAATGTAAACAGTAATATTTGATATAAAGTTAAATTGAAGATGATTACAAAGCAGCGATGTGTAGAAGGAACTACGTTCTCATTATGTCTTTCAGTTCCTTCAATTTATACTTCATCAAGGGTCAAAGAGCCTTCATGGATAGTATTTCAACTGCTTTTCAGTCTGAACGCCTGCTTAATTATAAGAAATAAATTACATGTTTAACCTGGTTGTGCTGAATGGAAAGTAAGAATAAAAGTGAAACTTCTTCTTATTTATCCTGAAGGGCGGTGCGAATGTGTTCACTGAATGTAATTGCAATCTATTCAATACTTGCAGAGATATTTCAGTGGTGGACCGAGCAACCTGCGTGGGTGGAAAAAAGATCACTGCATTCAGGCTTGAAAGAGAATATCTGGGAGCATGTAAACATATCTGTGCTGTGAAGGTCAACTGTGTGAGATTCAGGCTGTGGTTCTTCTGTGAGCTGGAACAAATAGGCAGTCTCTAAGAAATAGACGTTAAAAATCTCCTGGCATTATATGGATGTATTTCACTGCTTATTCCTGCTTCGTCTGACAAGCACAGAAACACTGTCTGCCTCCAAATGTGGGCTAAAAAAAGATCCATTACACGTGTTAGGGCTCGAGAGAGAAAGAAGTGAACGTGTGAGAATCTAATTATGCACACTCTGTGAAAGATATATCCACACATAAGCACATCAAACACCATTTGTTGGTTTGTTTATTTGCTCTTTCTCCACCAGAGGGAAAGAAGAGGAGACAGGTAAAGGCGCTGGAGGGGGTGTAGGAGGTTCTGTCGTGCAGGAAAAAGGAAGAGAAATGTTGACAGAAGAGGAGAGAAAGGGGGAGAACCACGTGGAAGAACCATCCTGTGACAACCGTCCAACGAGCATGCATAGGTGTGAGTGTACACTGTATTACACCATCTCATTTCAGACAAATAAATCCAATTTTATACAGACTTTTACAGAAGCTACCCAATGTTTTTTTTTTTTTACAGCAGTTAGCAAATGATATATCTCTGATTGCAGCAAATCCCCTTTTTTTTCTCTTTTCAGGCAGTGATTCTTCCAACAAGACGACGTACTGAACACTGACAGACAGACATACAGACAGACACACATGTACAGAACAGATACAAAGAGATAGAAGGAGAGAGAAGGAGAAAGGCAGCCTACCAGAAGCAGATTTTGAGCGACAAGTGACGGAAACTCTTGGAAGATGGCAGTAGGGTTATACAAAAAGAGCGAACCAAAGACGTGATCAGTACACCTTTAACATCCACAGAAATATATTTGGCTTCTTGTTATAAGTTTATTCATTCATTTAGATTTTGAAAAATAAAACAACCCAGTGTCCTTCAAGTCCATGCATGTGTCCGTGAAATATTTTGGCAAAAAAGAAGCCAAATTCTTCGTCACAATGAACACATAGGCTATAAAGGAAAGGGTCTTTCCAACACACCATTGACTCACAAAGGACAAGCCGTCACATTATTCCTCCCCGCCAAGTAATTGTTCAATAAATAAATGAATATGTGCCACTGTGTAAAGACATTCTGTTTGCAGTTTTGAGCCCTCGTGTTTTCACTAAACAGGGATTCTTGAAATAAAATGATATAAGCGAGAGCTGCCAAACTAGCCATCTCTAAATCTCCAAGTGTTTTTTTTCTCGTGTAAAGTGCTCAAAACCAGACTGAAACAAGACGGCTTTACAACCATGACAACTATTCTAACTTTTACCTGAGGGGATTTTCAACAAGTCCGTAGAAAAATAAACATTGTCCCCCAACGTTGCATAAAGAAGCAATCAATAAATACATTAATTCAACTGCTTTTTGTTGTTGTTAGTTTGTCTTAAAAGTGTCTCACACAATCATCGAAGTGAGAGGAGAAGGAGCTCCCCGACAGAGAAAAGAAAAAGGTGAGAACAGTGTGTCGTAAAGTTCGTCATGCACAGAAAGTCTGTTTAACTCCCCTCCTCCTCTTCCTCTTTGCTGAAACACTCTTTCCTCAGGTGAGTGAAAGGAAAACACAAATGAAAACATGCCTCCTCAAACATCAGAATCCCTATCACTCTCCAGGCAGCTTCACAGAAATCACAGGAAGAAGACACCGATCTGTTTCGGCTCTACTGTTCGCGCCTAGTTCCCTGCTCCCTGATTGGCTGATTAAGCAGCACACGGGCTGTATCCCCCTCCTTTATCTACTACCGTTCCTATTTACCCGATGAAAGACTCTCCAGTTGGAGCCATCGCTCTGCTTCCCACACAAACGTTCCTCCGTTTCTTTAAATCTTTGTGTAAGTGGTAAGAAAAACTAAATTCAGTCGCAAGCTGGAGAGCGTTCCGCCATAAAGTGGGACTGAGATGTGTACAAAAATAAAGAAATCATACTGTAGTAGAACAGTTTGTGACTGCATGTAAGAGGCGATTTTTTATTATATACTCAGACTATTTACATCTACATGTATACGACAGCGTGAACACCGGGCTGTTGGGACGCCGGTGTTTGTCTGCCTATTGCTGGTTACAATTTAGATATTTGTGTGTATTCTCTGTGTGTGTGTGTGCACGCGTGTGTGTATGTGCGTGTGTGTATGTGTGTGTGTGCGCGTGTGTGCGTATGTGCGCGCGTGCGTGTGTGTGTGACTCCATGTGGACGGCGAGGAGAGAAACTCTTGTACTGCCATCTGCCTTCTTCCAGTACATTCAAATAGTGGTTATCATCCTCGACTCATCTATGAAGGAACGAAATAAGAAGCAGCTGAGGGTTTCGTGTTGTCAAGTGGCTCGGTTTTGGTTGGGTACCGTCAACAGTCCAAAGGCAGCCTCTGATCTGCTGGATTGCATCAGTGCAAAAGAGATAATGCAGCTCTTTCTTTACTCCCCCTGCGATACTATGGTTCAGTGCAGCGTCTATACAGTGCTGTATAGTACAGGTACTCCATAGTGCTCTGAAGAAACATGCATACAGAGAGACAGCAGGAAGCACACTTTCTTACAGTACAATCCTTTCTGTGCAGGACGTGTCCCTGGGTTGTGCCTCGGCCACAAAATCTTACTCTACAGGGTTAAAATGCATTTCACGAGCCTAACATGTGGAACTGTTTGCCGTTTTTTGAAAGTATACTGCGTGTGTTGGATGAAAATGTATTTGATTAAACACTAATATGTTACAGCTGTAAACAGAGTAGTTCTCCTGTGGGAAAACTGTTATATCTTATCATACACTTATACATAGATTTGTTCTTTTTTTGTAGCTTTATTACAAAAATGATTCTTATTATAATGTCCTATTATGATAGATTTTCATTATTGTTATAAGACGATGACAGGGTCGACTTTGCTTGTCCTCTTAAAAAGCATGCATATTTTTATTTGCCCTCCTCTTCATCTCCACGTGGTTTTACTATCCAATTAGGAACGTCCAATCAGTCCTCCTCCTCTTCCTCGTCTTCGTTTACCTTTGGGATGTAAGGCTTAAAAAGAAACAGGTGTCCTTTGTTGCATCAGCTGTCTTTGTCTCATTGTGTGTCCACCTCCAGAAAATCTGTTTCTCACTTTCTGAAGAATCCATCTCAAAGTTGTTGATACCTGAAAGGAACAGATTAATAGATATATATTGTATTGTCACGCTCATTCCTGGCTGACTCCGGGTCAGTTTGTAATGAGGAGTCTGTTCAGTTGGCTGTCATGGCGGCTCCCGGGCTGAGCGCCTCCTCCTCCTTCTCCAGCGTCTGCACCAGGCTGGAGGAGACATCCGAGGACTTCCGCTCTGTGATTGGCTCTGCAGGTGGTTGCCCCGGACTACTGCCACCGGAGGCGTCCCCTTGGTGCCGGGGGGGAGTCAACGAGGCCAGCTCCGGCTCCATGCACACTCTCCTCTCATCCTCCTGAGCGGGAAACACAGGGGCGTCAGCAGAGATGGCAAAAGTACACAAATCCTTTACTCAATAAGTACAGATACTCGTGTTTAAAAATACTCTGGTGAAAGTAGAAGTACTGACTCAACTTCTTTACTCAAGTAAAAGTAAAGAGGCTTTAAAATGTACTTCAGTAAAAAGTACCCATAACTAGCAGCTGCTTTAAAGAGTACCTGACCTCCCTTTATATTAATAGAACAATAATGTCATTGTTAGCTAATGAATGTTTCCATGCTGAACAACGGCAACATGACAACGTTTCCATTGGTCCCTCTTCTTTAGAGAAGACCAGGAAATGATGGATACACGGATCGTGTTCAAATCAATAGGCACGCAATGACTCTAAAGAATAATGATCACGCACCAAACACACATTCAGACTAAAGGAACCAGCTGTTTGGAAAATGAGAGAAGTAGAAAGTACAGGTATTTGAGTTCAACATGTATGAAGTAGAAAGTACAGGTATTTGTGTTCAACATGTAAGAAGTAGAAAGTACAGGTATTTGAGTTCAACATGTAAGAAGTAGAAAGTACAGGTATTTGGGTTCAACATGTAAGAAGTAGAAAGTACAGGTATTTGTGTTCAACATGTAAGAAGTAGAAAGTACAGGTATTTGTGTTCAACATGTGAGAAGTAGAAAGTACAGGTATTTGGATTCAACATGTAAGAAGTAGAAAGTTCAGGTATTTGGGTTCAACATGTAAGAAGTAGAAAGTACAGGTATTTGGATTCAACATGTAAGAAGTAGAAAGTTCAGGTATTTGTGTTCAACATGTAAGAAGTAGAAAGTACAGGTATTTGAGTTCAACATGTAAGAAGTAGAAAGTTCAGGTATTTGGGTTCAACATGTAAGAAGTAGAAAGTACAGGTATTTGAGTTCAACATGTAAGAAGTAGAAAGTTCAGGTATTTGGGTTCAACATGTAAGAAGTAGAAAGTTCAGGTATTTGGGTTCAACATGTAAGAAGTAGAAAGTTCAGGTATTTGGGTTCAAAATGTAAGAAGTAGAAAGTTCAGGTATTTGGGTTCAACATGTAAGAAGTAGAAAGTACAGGTATTTGGGTTCAAAATGTAAGAAGTAGAAAGTTCAGGTATTTGGGTTCAACATGTAAGAAGTAGAAAGTTCAGGTATTTGGGTTCAACATGTAAGAAGTAGAAAGTACAGGTATTTGAGTTCAACATGTAAGAAGTAGAAAGTTCAGGTATTTGAGTTCAACATGTAAGAAGTAGAAAGTTCAGGTATTTGGGTTCAACATGTAAGAAGTAGAAAGTTCAGGTATTTGGGTTCAACATGTAAGAAGTAGAAAGTACAGGTATTTGTGTTCAACATGTAAGAAGTAGAAAGTACAGGTATTTGAGTTCAACATGTAAGAAGTAGAAAGTACAGGTATTTGTGTTCAACATGTAAGAAGTAGAAAGTACAGGTATTTGTGTTCAAAATGTAAGAAGTAGAAAGTACAGGTATTTGTGTTCAACATGTAAGAAGTCAAAGTAAAAAGTCGGCAAAAAAATAAGTAGTGGAGTAAAGTACTGGTACCAGAAAGATGTACTTAAGTACAGTAACGAAATATTTGTACTCCACTACTTCCCACCTCTGGGCGTCAGTCAGCTGAATCAGAAGTGAACCAGAATCAGAATTAGAATGAATGTATTAGCAGTGGTGGGGAAGTAACTAAGTACATGTATTCAAGTACTTGACCATAAGTACAATTTTGAGGGACTTACTTGAGTATTTCCATGTTTTGCTTCATACTTTTATTCCATGTATTTAATACCTTTAGTTACTTTCCAGATGTGGATGAATGATGTGAATTATAATCAAGTGTTAAATCAGACTTTAGTTCCACCTGGAGTAAATCCACAAGCTACCCTGCAGTATACAAAGTCATTCAAACTAGCTGCACCTTCACCAGCTTTGAGAACACTTTAATGATCAATCATTATAAAACATATCAAGTATATTATTCTGAAATGGACCGATCTGCACAATGACTACTTTTACTGTCGCTACTTTCACTATATTTTGATGCTAATACTTTTCTACTTTTACTTGAGGAACATTTTGAATGCAGGACTTTTACTGTAACAAGAGTATTCCTACACTCTGGTACTTCTACTTTTACTCAACTACAAGATCTGAGTACTTCTACTTTTACTCAAGTACAAGATCTGAGTACTTCTACTTTTACTCAAGTACAAGATCTGAGTACTTCTACTTTTACTCAAGTACAAGATCTGAGTACTTCTCCCATCTCTGTTTTAAAATGCAAAGTGTTACTGAAAAAGTGGCATAGCAAGTGGAAAAAAGCAAGCAAAATTAAAGGTGACATAAATAACATATTAAAGTATTGAGACCTCATAAAAATGTATGCCTTTACATAACAGTGGCGTACAGTACAGTAGTACTTCTCAGGTTCATCCCTTTAACTCGTCTTGTATGAATGACATTGATCCAAACTGACTTCCAAAGCTTTACAGATTGATTTCCCATCTGTCTCGCAGCTTGCCTGATGAAGAGATCAACTGGGAGCAGTTCCTAGTGATATCATTCATCACCGTTGACATTTAGTTGTGCAGGATGCCGATTTAGAGCCCTTTATTGTTGGCTTGTTGAATCATAATCACTAACTGTTTGTGGTTGGTGCGTGCAGGAAGCTTCAGCGAGCAAAATGTCTGAGTCAACGGCTGAAACGCTTCATGCTTTTCCATTCATTGTCGGGGTTCACAAGAAACAAAAGAAGAAGCCGCTGAGGCCAGTGAACGGCTCAAGCTTGAAAAACTCTGGATCCTACAATACCACGCCCTCGTTACATCCCGTATTACATCCCGTATTACATCCCGTATTGATTATTGCAACTCCATCCTCTCTGGTCTTCCTCACAAATCCCTGCGTAAGCTCCAACTGGTCCAAAACTCAGCCGCCCGTATCATTACCAGAACTCCTTCCATTGATCATATCACTCCGGTTCTTCAACAACTCCATTGGCTCCCCGTTAAATACCGCATCGACTTTAAAATATTGCTCCTCACCTTCAAGGCCCTTCACACTGTTGCACCTCCATATCTCTCTGAACTCCTTCACACCTACACAGGGGCGGTTCTAGGGGGGCCAGGTGGGGCCAGTGCCCCCCTAACACTGACCTCTGACCCCCCTGTGGCCCCCCTAACAATGAAACGTTTTTTTTGTAATGTATATTTTCTGGTACTCGGTTTGCCAAAAACCGCAGGATTTTGTTGCTGTAATGTGAGATTGTGCAGACACCCTTATGTAAAGTAGAGATGTAACTGTTCATTGCCTTTATTTTTATATAAATATGGTGTGAGTGCAAACATTTCACTATAACTTAAGCTGAAGCTAACAGTAATAACTATAAGATCTATCTGAAATAAATAAGTGTACTGAAACAAATACCAATAACTGTATTGCATTGTTTTCTTATGCGCAATTACTTCATACTGTCTAGTTCTCTTTTTCGTCCTGCATTTATTGTGCCCCCCTCAGAAAATAACTGGCCTCCCCAGTCAAATTGGTCTAGAACCGCCACTGCACCTACACTCAGTGGCGGCGCCAGGGTATGGCTGGGGTAGGCTACAGCCATACCAAGAAATGGCTTAGCCCCACCATGAAAAATGATGTTAAAGTAAGCAAATTACATTTAATAATAAGCAAAAGGCTAAATGTTGAGAACACGGATTGCGAAAATATACGGGTCGTGTCCACAACACACAAATTGATCCTGCTGTTACAACAAGTGCACGTTACTGATGCATTATGGTTGAGACCATTTGGGGTTATGCTACAAGAGGGGTGCAAGGAATAGTCTAAGTAGTGGGGGAGTTTTATACACTAAAGGTGTGGAAATTCTCTCGCGTTATAATATCAGCGCGGCCGCGGTCAGATCAAAATGCCTCCGAATGCAATTTGAATAGACCTACAGCCAATCAGAGCAACGAAACGTTGGGTCTTCTGCGTCATGCCTTAATGATTAAGATCAATCGGAACCGCCATTCAGTATCCTCATTGGATCTTCAACGTGGACTATCTATCATACGTCACGTTCACAGTGATCCCTTTTTATTTACTACAAGACAAATGTGCCGTTTTATTTCATACAGTTCCATTTTGATTGAGAAATCATCTAAACCTCACGCGTGGCGTTTCACTGTCAAGGGGGGCGATATAGCGTGTATGTAATTACACTGCAAATACTGACTTGAGCCCCACCACTGTATGGGTTAGCCCTACCATAGATTACCCAACAAAAATACTCTGGCGCCGCCACTGCCTACACTCCCTCTCGTGCTCTCCGATCCTCCTCTGCCTTCCAACTCACTGTACCTTCTGCCCGCCTGACCACCATCGGGTCAAGAGCCTTCAGCCCCCCGTCTCTGGAACTCTCTCCCGCAAGACATCCGCAATATGGACTCACTCTCAACCTTCAAATCCTGCCTGAAAACCCAAAACTAGCGTATTTAATATCTTAATTCTTCTAAACTGATTGCTGTTTTAGAGTCTTTGTTTTTTAAGTCTTGAATTACTGTTTGACCTTCTTTGTTGCTTGTTTATAATAAGTTATATACGTTTAAAAATGCATTATTATTATTATACCCACAATGCAACACATCTTTTACTGCATTTATGTGGTGTTGAATTGAAAATAATAGTTAGATATTAAAACTTGTCAGCAGAACTAACATACAGCAGCCTTTTTAATGTATATCTTTTGTATCTTTTTGTTTCTGCATATATCATTCATGGACATATTTATATCACATTTTATTGATTAAAATCATGGTGAAAATGGATTGTTTTAATGTTTTTTACAGTAAGTTCTTATTTATAAAGTGATGGAAAAAATTGCCTCTGTCAAATTCTTTGACTCTAATTTGTCAAGACACGTTTTCTTTCAGTTTAAGCAACTTGTACAAACATATTCACACTATTGACCAGTTTTTTTTTTCATTTTCCTTTCAGCTGTCTCCCCTCAGTTTATACATCGAAAGAAAATATGAAAGAAAGAAACAACTGGTGAATTTTAATGTTCATATCTAATATATGTCCCGCTATTCACCTGCAGCGTCTCCCCTCAGAATATGGAATACATTAGGAGCATCAGTCTTGTCTTCAGTGCTGATCTTAAATCATACATATGTATTCGGACCATGTGTTCCCCTCACCTTGACCTCCTGCTGCTTTTTTTTCAGTTTTAGCATCTTATACCAACATATTCATACTATTGCCCACTGTTCTTTTCAATGTGTCTTTCAGCTGTATCCACACCGTTTATGCATAGAAAGAAAATATGAAAGAAAGACAAAACTAGTGAATGTTAATGGTCATATCTCATTATAATCTCCCCAGTTGTTAGCATCATACTTGTCTCTAGCGCAGATCTTAAATCATACATATGTATTCTGAGCATGTGTTCCCCTCACCTGGACCTCCTCCTCCTCCTCCTCATCCTCCTCCTCCTCCTCTTGCTGCTCCAGGAGGGGGGAGTGCTCCGTCCCCATGTCCTCCACAGACGGGACACACAGGCTGGGCTCCACCATCACCGCCACCCCCATGAAGCCCCCACTCTCCGTGGGGTAGGCCTCCATGCTGTTCCACAGGTCCACCAGCGGGGGGCGGGCCGGGTGCACCAGGCTGTGGATGGTGCTGTTGGGCGTAGCTTGCAAAGATTGGTTGGCGCTGTGCAGCCGCTGCTCCAGAGACTGGGGGGGGGGGGGGGGGGGAAGAGGGAGGGAGGGGGGGAAGAGGGAGGGAGGGGGGGACAGATCAGGAGGCAGAACAGAAAGGTGTTCACAGTTTCTGAATCTGTGTGTTTGGGAAGATACTTTCATATTCCTATGTTATCTTTTTTGTCTGTGTTGCTTTTATTTATTTTTTAAATTGTTTTATTTTAACATATTATCACTGTAGATGTTTTATCTTGTTCTGTATTAATTTTAATATTATTTTAATATTGTTGTTTTGTTTTCTGTAAAGCACTTTGGGCTGCTTTGTGCATGGAAGGTGCTGCTATACAATCTACCAAACTGTTGGTGCTGTGTATGACCTGCAGCTGCCTCCTCTCTAGACAGAAGGAGGCAGGGCATGATTCACTTTGTTTATCTACAGACTGGAAGACATCTACTCTTGTCTCCCACCTTTTGAGGGGCAAAGAGCAACATCATCGTAAATGGGAATACCTGCATGTACGGAGACCTGCCGGATTTACGACTATGTGTGGGACTGTACTTAGACTATAATCTTGATGTTACTTCCTGTTCCTTTGAGCAGCATACCTCATGTGTGTGAGTTGAACCATATTCCTGTATGTGATTTAACTCTGCTGCCTGATTATTGATTCTCAAACCGACGTCGAGTGATATTTTCCTAACAGTGAGAGAAATCAATTCTGCTTTCTTTGTGCAGAGAAGAGCGTAGTTTTTTATTTTGGCGCCGACTTGCAGTTTAAAGTCAAATGTAATGTTTTGGATTGTTGTGCTGAGTTTATATTTTCCTATAGTTTCTGAAAAGGAGAGTTAATAATACTTCACTTTATTATTCAGGTCGCTCTTGAAAAATTGATTTTAATCTCAATGAGACTTTCACCTAGTTAAATAAAGGATAATAGATTCTCTGTACTGTATTTTTCTTAACTTTATTAAAGAAAAAATCTTTGACCTTCTTCCAAACATTTGTTTACTTAAGAGTCCGTGGATATGCTTACACAACTAAAATCAACGAGCAACAAAAACAAAGAGTTTGCTTGTAGACACATTTTACATTTTGGCATTAAGCATGAGTTTACATTATCAAATAATCTTAATAATGATTATATTTAATTGATGACAAATCAACCTTTGTTCCCTATAATTCTTTTTTTTTGGTGAAAAAATGTTATTCTCCTTTTAGAAATAGAGTTAATTTCTAATTTTGGAAATGACATTTTTATATATACATTTACTTAAAATCAAGTTATTTTTTGTTTCCCTCCAAACATGAAAACCAACATTTTTCTTTAGCTAAGTAATATTTTTAGATTATCTAGGTGATTATGGAAGTATTGTAAATCCGCTGCAATCACATATACGCACTCATGTTCCTGGATTCACACACAACCTAACAAACACTTGATCTCCGCCAACGGGACAGAGTGAGCTCTAGAGCTGCTGGGTTTTACATGACTTCCTGTTTCTTTGGACTGCTCAGGTTCATGCATTATTAGAGTGACTTTGAGAGTCAGTAAACATACTATCACACTGCATTTCTCACTCCACCTCCTTCTATCTATCAGGGAAGGTTACTCCACCTGCTGCTGCTGGTACTGCAGCAGTTGCTGCTGCTGGTAGCTCTGGATCTGCTGGATCTGCTGCAGCTGCTGCAGCTGGTTCTGCTGCTGGAGCGTCAGCTGCTGCTGCTGCTGCTGCTGCGACAGGAAGCACCCCGCCACCTGGCCCTCGTACCCCTCAGGCCCGAGGACGTAGGAGCCGGCCGGGGAGGACATCACGCCGGAGGAGTCTTTGTTCATGGGCTCCCAGGCGTCGGACGAGGAGAGGCAGTAGTGGCCCTGGGAGACGTAAGTGTGGGGCCACACATCCGCTGAGGAGTGGTGCAAGATCTGATCTGGAAGGAAATAAAGAGCAGGAGTGGCTATTAAAGGTGCTGCTGGAGGTGTTGGTGTCAGGAACACGTGAGGGAGAGTTCTGGCAGTGCTGGACAACGTATTCAGACCCTTGTTACTGTAAAAGTCCTGCAGTGTAAATCGTATTATAGCAAAGCAGTCATTATAATCATCTGAGAACTTTGTCTCACTTCATGAGAACAACTTTGTGTCACTGCTCTGAAATCAAAATGTCCAAAACCATTAGTTATCCAGGTTTACCTTCAACCGACCATGATGGAAAATGTGGAATTAATTATGAGCTACCCTCCAGCGCGGAGAGGAGATTAACAGTGTGTTCTCATTACTGAGCAACACCACACATGCAAGCTGCCTTATTCATTCAAAGCCAAGGCTGGTGGAGAGTAAGTTTGTACATTTAATTACACACTCAAGTCAAGTTTTGAGCTACTTTCCTGGAGTATATCCACTTTATGCTACTTTAAAAACATAGTAAATATAATAAAATGAATACAAAGATGAACATAAAGTAAACAATACATTTCAGTGAATCACGTTAAGTTGCCGGGGTGCCAGTCAGGTCGGGCATGAACAATCCATTTGTTGGAGTCTGTCTCGTCTTTATGAACCTTTGATAATGTTAATATTTGCCTTAATGTAAAGATTGTTCTGAAAGACAGGCCACTTTAAGATGCATCCACGGCCGTATTTGTAGTTCTTTGTAGTCCTTTACCTCGACTGGTGATGCTCTCCTGGTTGACCTCGCTCAGACGGGCCACGCTGCCCATCATTGATCCCGACCGCGTGCTCTCTCCGTCCATCGAGCCCCAGGCTATGAGCGTCGCCTCGGTGACTGCAAACTGCTGCAGGATCCCTGAGGGCAGCAGAGGACAAACCAGCATTACAATAGTTAACTAACTGAATAAGTGGCATAAATCAATCTTACAAAGTGAGGTGAAAGCAATATGCTGATCAATGAGGGTTCATAGGTCAAAAGCAAATTGGATAAATAGCTAGGACTTGGACCTTAAGAGCTTTAAAAAACGTATAGTAGTATGTTAAAGAGACCCTATTGTGCTTTTTGGGGGGGGTTTCCCTCTGCTGTAGTGTGTTAGATTTCAGTGTATGTAAATAGTCTGCAAAAGCTACAATTCCTGTGTTTCCTCCAGAAGGAGTTACTCCCCCAAATACTTGGACTCCTTTGTTTACTTCTGTAGTATACTGACAACCAGTGCTGGAATTGGGCCGGTACTCACCGGTACGCAGTACCGGCACTTCTGGTTCTGACCCATGGAGTACCGGCACTTCTTGCTCAGTACCGGCATGCTGGCGGTACTCCGGTACTCATGCACCGTGCCAGTACTCAACACTCTCCCGCCGTTCTTATTATACATCCATATATATATATATACAGCCGCCCGGCACTCAGTAGATGCGTCATGAGGTGCCGAACGGACATTCTCATCGCTCTAACCGCTGGAGTTTCACAGCGGCTGTCAGCTGTTTACTCCTGTCATTCAAACAGAACGTGCTGGAGAGGGGGCGGGGCTTATCTTCTCCATGTAAATACTGTGGTGGAAACGACTATGTCAAAATTAACCTATTTGACCGTGATTTAATAGTAATACACGTTTCAAAATAATAATAATAATAATGCCGAAGTAACAACATACTGAAAACTGTTAGTAAAACCATGTTTTAATGCTTTACAATTTACATACCTAGATGCACGTGTGTTGTGTTTATGCAGTGCAACTCCCACCCCCCCCAGTGGGTGGCTATGTAGAGTGATAGAACAGAGCAGGCACGCCCCCGAGAGAAGGAAAGCAAGTCACGTCACAAATTAGCATTTCTAAAATGTTAGCGTGGATTAATAAAAGTGCAAAAAGACAGCGGTTGTCGCCGGAAGAAACTTCAAATACAGAGAATGCTGTGCCTGTGTTGGAAATTGTGTCTGATGGGGAGCTTTCTTTGGTTGATCCTCCTGCTCCAAGTTCTAGTGCATTAGCATTAGCACTAGCTCCGCCGCCTCCTCCAGAGCCTCTAACGTTAGCTGCTGCTGGCGCAACTGCCACCACCAACACCGGGCAAAGCGATGCACCTGACTGCTGGACAACGGACCAGGTGCAATATTTTTGCAAGACCAATGCATGGCTCCTTCTTAAAGATAAGAAGCTAGGATGTCGGATATGCAGAGATGTCAAATCTTTGGGAATACACACTGGACAAGGACTGAAACTGTCAACTGAATGGGGTGAGTGTGCAGTGTCTCATTTCGGTGTTGACAAGGGCAAACAACAAGCTAGCCTGAGAAAAAAAAAAAATCAAAGAACATAAAGAATCACAAGCCCATGTAAAAGCTGCTGACATCCTTACATCTGCTTCACGTGAAACTATTCAACATCAAGTGCAGTCTATGCATAAATCTGAATTAGACACCACTATCAGAGTTTTTAGAACGGCATATAAAATTGGCAAACATAGCCGGCCATTCACAGACATGCCAATTGATTTGAATGTACAGAAACTGAATGGGCTGAACGTGGGCAGGGTTTTGCACTCCAATAAAACCTGTGGCGAAATCATCGACCACATAGCTCATGAGCTGAAGAAAAAAAATGGCAAAAGACATTACAGAAAACCAAAGAAAACTGTGTTTTGGTCGATGAATCTACCACTATTAGTGGTAAAACGGTGCTTGTTGTGTGTCTACGCTCAGCATTAGCTGATGCTGAGCCCGAAACGTTTTTTTGGGAGCTGATCGAGTTGGATGGAACAACGGCTGATGACATCACAAAGGCGTTAATGGAGTGTCTTGGAAGAGATTTTAACGAGGACTTTTAGGTCAGTGTTTCGTTTCTTTTGCATGTGATGGGGCTTCAGTCATGCTAGGGAAGAGAACAGGCGTTGCTACCCAGTTGTGTAGTAAATTCCCAAGCCTGTTTGTGTGGCACTGCTCCAATCATCGTCTAGAGCTGGCAGTTGGGGATGTGGTCAAGGAGGTCTCAGGGCTCAATCATTTCCAGATCTTTTTTGACAAACTCTATTCCTTGTTCCATGCCTCCCCCAAAAATCAGAGGCAGTTAGCGCAGTGTGCGCAAGCAGTCGGACAGCGTCTCCTGGTGATAGGGCGTGTTTTGTCCATCCGCTGGGTGGCTTCAAGTGAAAGGAGCGTCAGAGCAGTCTGGGAAAACTACCGAGTGCTTCATGATCACTTCACAAATGCTGCAAACGACACGAGCAGGGATTCCAGAGACAGAGCAAAGTACAAGGGCCTGGATGATGTGCTCACATCTGCAACGTTTGTCAGCAATCTGGGACTGATGTACGATGCGCTCACAGAGCTCAGCGACCTCTCTCGGCAACTCCAAAAAAGAGAGATGACACTGCCTACAGCAGATAGGCTCTTAACTCGAGAAATACGAGTTTTTGAATCCATGGTCACCATGCCTGGCCCACACATGACTACAGTTCATACAGCTCTAGCTGAGAAGTCCTTCAAGGGTGTTGCCCTGCGTGAGAATGGCAGGCTTGTACAGATTCATGCAGGTCAGTTTTTCCGCAGTATGGTAGAGAATCTGAGACACAGAATGACTTCCACAACCTCCTCTCATGTCAGCACAAGAGAAATCCCATTACATGGCCGGGAGGCGTAGAGGTGCTACGTTTGTGCGAAGTGCTGAAAGTGGACAGAAGAGAGACTGTTCAGGGCTTTCGCGAATACAAGGAAAACCAGGGCATCCCGTACACCTGCTGCCATGGAGCCTCTACTGAAAGCAGTCCGAACCATCGCTGTCTCCACTAGTGAGTGTGAGCGGGCATTCAGCTGCATGAACGATATCCTTACTGCAAAAAGGAATGCTCTCTCTGTCAGCCGACTGTCCAGCCTGGTTTTCATTAAATGTAATGGACCATCACTAGGACAGTTCAATCCGGAACAGTATGTGAGGTCCTGGCTGGCAAAGGGAAGGAGAAGTGCTGATGAAAGAGCCTGTCCAGCTCCAGCCCCTGATACTGATGTCCCCAAGGCCTTCTGGAGCCTTTTCTAACAATGTGAAGTATATTGCAAAGCAGCTCACCCAGTGAGAAGACTTTTGGCATAATGTGCCGATTTGTACAGATCCTGGAGATAGAAGGACTTCAGACCAACCAGGGAGTTATCTGATCAGCTTGGTGTTCAATGTAACTCTTTACCATGGCTCAGACTTTGTTACTTGCAGTTACAGTTTCTCATTTTAGATTGTGCAAATTTTGCATTTGTTTTTACATGTTCTTTGTTCATGCTCTTTATCATTTTTCTGAGTTGGAAAGTTAGATTGCATCATAGTTTACTTTATACATATTTGTATTCTTCAGTGGTGAAGTATATTGCAAAGCAGCTCAGCCATGTGAGAAGACTTTTGGCACTTTTTCGTTTTTCGTTTTCTGAGTTGGAAAGTTAGATTGCATTCAAAATGTACAGAAATACTTAATTTTGTTAAAGCTTTTTATAAAAAATGCTTCTGACCAGAGCTTTGTTTCCTTGTCATTAATGTTGAACACCACCAGAGGGGCTCTCACCTGAAAGGTGTCTGCTTCATGTGTCTTCAGCAGAAGATCTAGACTTTGATTGCTATATTTTCAGTTAATATTGACCTTACTGAGCTTTAGCCATATCCGCTGCCTATCATAAAAAATGTTAAGTACAGTGAACCTTTCTAAAATATACAGTAGTAAAGAGACAAACCCACCAGCATTATAGTAGCCAAATTCTTGTTTGTGGGCTGTATATATAAAATTGACTTGAAAAAGTTGCTGATTTTAGAGTACTGGCACCTTTTTCATTCCAATTCAAGCACTGCTGACAACTCTATGTAACACTCTCTTTTCTATTGGCCAGCCACTCTCAACACACTGTACGTGATAGGGGGCGGGACATCTCTAAGCGGTGGACCAATCACAATAGGGCCGGCGAGCTAACCAATCAGAACAGACTAGGATGTGTGGTTTCTCAGGCAACATGAGAAAAATAAAGAGCTTTTTGAACATTAAAGCATGGAGACATGTCCCAGTAGAGACACTACATACTAATATGAACGTGAACATGAGCAGAATATTGCCCCTTTAAAATGTGGGTGAACGGGCTCTTTGTGAGTTTCTGACCTGCAGTGAAGCGCGCCTCCTTCTCTCCTTCACTCAGGTCGCTGTAGGCGTCGCTCTCCAGCCGCCGCTCCTTCTCCCGCTCCTCGGTGGTGATCCGGGGCAGCGGCACGCCTCCTGGTCCCACCGTCGACATGCCCCAGTTCTGCCACTCGATCATGTGAGCAACGCGACCCTGCGCCATGCCGGTGGGCTTCGTCACTCGCTCCTTCATCGTGCGGCTCACACCTGGTGGGGGAGGAAAGGAGGGATAGAAGAAGAGTGGAGGAAGAGAGGGGAGGAACAGACATAAGATAGATAGGCTATGTTATTATCAAGTATTTTATTGTGTTTGTTCGGGGATGTTGTGAAGAATGATGAAACTATGGATGCCCAGCAGGATCAGACTAAACTGTGTGGAGGATAAACAGTGTTCTCCTCAAACATAATGCCATTTTGTTTAATTATATTATTACTGTAAGATTGTTAATTACCTTAGAAGCCGATTGTGTGTAGTGATTCAAGTAAATATGTTTGTGTAAATGTGTATAAATAGAGTTTGGTCGCATTTCATTTACTTGTTTTTGAAGATAAGAATGTAAATAATTGAATATTGGGAAATAGTAAAGGAAAGATTTTGTGTTACACGATATTTGTCAAGGAGTGAACTCTGAGGCATGAACTCAATTACACGACTCAAACTCAGACTCGGATAGTGTTTCAAAATAAAGACTTTACTGGGATTTGCACAGTCATGAAAACAAGGGAAACAAAAACACTCTTTCGAGGAAAACTAGAACAGTGATCAATAACATAGATCCGTGAGAAGTCCGTTAGGTAAGCAGGAACGTAGGTGATAGAGAGACAACGAACTGACAATGAACAGGAGGGAGCTAACACAATATATACACAGGTAAAGGGGACACAGGTGGAAACAATCAGGGCGGGAAAACAATCAAGGACGCAGGAGACAGAAGGGGGCGGGGAGCGTGGAGGCCTAAAATGAGAGGGAGAATTAATTAAGGGAATAAACATAAAGCACAGGACAAAGGGACATGACAAAACTAACATAAAGAATAAACTTTCACTATAAGTTTCTTGGACATAACAATATTTTGATCGCATTACACAATTACGTTGCCTGATTTGATCATAAAAAGAACACAATAACTCAAATGTTGTTGTAAAAATCGAATGAAACTCAGGTAAATCAAACTATTTCCCCTACCTGCTTACTGTGTCTGTGCATGGATGTATTGGCATCAGCAATATTTATTTAATTGTTCTCAATAACTTTACCTAAAACCTGCAATTCAATCCATTTTGTTATTGTGAAAATACCTTTCATTTGTCGAGTAATTCCTTCTCACAGGAGAACCTAAAATAGGCCTTACTATTTGGTTATTTCATATATATTTATATTGAATTACCAGATAATAATGAAAACAAAAATGTAAAATAACCTATATTGGCATTTCAATTAAAGAAAAATATAGTTTAGTCCGACCTAGCTTCTCAGATGCCTGTATTTTAAAGAGCGTCTTCATGAACATGGATGAGAATAGCTCAATGCAGATGTGCTGAGGGGATGCTAGCATGTTTGTAATGAGACGACACCATTGTCTGATGGAGTAAAGGCAGGAGAATGGATGTGTCCTGTCTGAAAGAGGTGCATCATGGGATGGAATAGGTTAATTAGGGTGAGGTGGTTGTATGGCATGAGTAATGAGAGGTCGGCTTGTTGACATAACATCTTTCACACCTCTGCTAATCTGCGCTGGGTAAACAGAAGCACTCTGCTGTCTGTGTGAGGACTCACCCTAACCCTAACCCTGATGGCTGCATAATGGCTGCACTCCATATTTCATGTGACCAACAAATGACTGTAAATCCCTGGGCTCACTGACGATGAGATTTATGAATAAATGAAAGGACAAATCTGGACCACACCACACCAGCTGCACTGCACTAACTTTTGTTTAACACAAACCATCCACACGAGGACGATAACGGTCGTATCTGCTACAGTTATCAGATAGACGGTTCGGCCACACGAGGCCGACATGGAAACGCAGAAAACGATAACGGGTCCCAAGGTGGGTAGATCAGCAAACGAAACGCTCTGGGGGGGCAAACGGCTCTGTGTTTACGCCTATACGATCATGTCCTGATAACGTTGAAGCAATAGCCCCGCCTCTCCCCACCTCTGCTGCTCAGAGATCAGCTGCTGGGCTGTCAGAAGAGGGGGAGGAAAAGAGAGACTCCATGTATTATTCTTATATTGTTATATAGAGTCGTTATTCATTTGTTTTAAAGCTCAATAAATAACAAAGAAGACCTCTGACCGGCACCTTTCTAATTTTGTCCGGAAGATTTAAACTTTAACGGACATGTTGACCGGCGAAAAACAATCGAACTGAAACTCTGCTGCATGGTCCCCTCGTCCCTTGGAAGAGGCGTTGTTTGGTGGGTGTTTGTCATCTGCTGGTGGACTACCGGAGAGATTTACAGCAGGAGTAAAGGCTTGCCTCGGGGAGGGAGAAAAAGAGCCAGAGCGTCCACAGCAGAGAATAAACAGAAGGGCAACCATGGCAACTATGCAAGGGAAGTCTTTTTCGCTGCTTTGTGGCAGGAGTACAGCGCCACTTACAGGCCCGGCATATGTACTACAGCGTATCCAGCGCTTTCGAACGGTCTCGTGTGAACGGAAACGTTTCTGGTGCCTGTTGCGTGTGGACGGAAGACTTTTTTGATATCGATTTCAGTCCGTTTGCGTTATCGTCCTCGTGTGGCTCCAGCCTAACACTACACAGTTTCAGAACCACTGAACATGAAGAGCTACACTTCCCACTCACCTTGTCTTAGAGCAACAAGTATGAGGACTCACTGTGTGTGTGAGGTGTGTTGTTTTAATCAATTAAACTTGATGTATATATCACTTAGCATACTTAACACAAAGTGCTTCCCCAGCTAAAAAAAACCAAACTAACCCCCGTCCCAGTTCACAGACAGACACACTTAACTATGTGATTGATAACACTTAACATCAACAGAACTCAATAAACACAAGACTGAAATAATGATTACAATTAACTTAAAGAGGCCCTTCTATGCCTTTTGGTGTTTTCCCTTTCCTGTAGTGTGTTATATCGTTTGTTGTGCATTTAAATGGTCTGTAAAGGCTCAAATCCCTGTGATTTTCTCTCCCACAGACTCCCCCCCTCCCCTGCCTGAAACGCCTCCATTGGACTCCTTTGTTTTCTTCAGTAACTTTACAAAACAAACATACACTGAAAAAACTGAAACGTTGACTTTATTACTTTAATTAATTGTAGTATGTCAACACATTTCCAATAAATGTATTAGGTTGAGAGCAATAATGTTAAATAGGTTCAACTTAAAATGATTGCTTTTAACTAACCTAATACAGTGATATATTAAAGTCAACGTTTCAGTTCCTTCAGTGTACTAACACTACACAGTTTGTTTCACAGCCACTTAACAAAAAGAGCTACACTTCCCACTCACCTTGTGTTAGAGCAACAAGCTGTATGAGGATGCACTGTGTGTGTGTTTAAGGCTGATTTAATTCCATCAATGACTCAGGAGGTGTTCATTGACGAGTGTTATTACGGTGTGAAGAGGAAGTGATTCAGGGGAACCCATTTTCGGGTACCATGCTGGCTCCAGCCGAGCCAACATGGGGTCGTTTACCCGTTTACAGCACAGACACACACCTGACACACCTGACAGAGAAGCATTAGCCAGAGCCCCGATGCCGTACGCATTAGAGTTCCTCTTGAGCCGAGGCAGGATCGACGTGGTGTCTTCCATGGACAGCTGGAGGGGGAGAAGACAGAGGAATGGAGGAAGGGGGAAAAAAGCGGGGAGAAAAGGATAGTATGGGAAGTGTGACGGGGCACACAAAGACGTCGAGACGGTGTGTGTTACAGGAAGGGTGAGTGGAGAGAAGTGATGGAGATGTTGGGTTAATACAAAATCTCCAAATCCAACTTTTTTTTAATTTTACCCTGCACCAATTCTGATTGTGCCACGACTAAAACCTGGAAGAGATCGACTGTAAAGGCCGAGGTGGAAGAGAGGGGGGAGGGTGAAAGAGGTCAGGGTGAGTTAAATCAAAACAGGTGAGAGAAACATATAACTATAGGAGGAAGAGTAGTCCATGAGGGAATGAGGTCACAACACTTACATTGATTCCTTCCCATGACAATTCTGAAGGTCCATGCTGAGGAAGAGAAATATAGGAGGAAGGGAGGGATGGGGAAAGAAGGAGAAGGAAAGACAGATACATGCACGGGGGGGATGGGGAGAAGACGAAGAAAAAGAGGAGGGGGTTGAACATCGGACATGCAGAGAAATGAAGAGACAGGGAGACAGATACACAGGATTTTCCAGGGAGAAGGAAGGCAAGAGTCAAGGACCGGAATGAGAGGGAGAAGGGGGGGGATTAAACAGGGATCAGTTTATTTGCTTCGTTATGTTTAGCAGAGTGAAAACGCTGCGGAGGGATGAGCGTCCTCTCGGCTTACACGTGCTGCCAGAAACACTGAAAAGCCAGCAGGAAATCGAGCGTGAGTGAGAGATGTGTTGAACTTTATCTGATGCTGCGTAAAGACAGGGGACTGGGGCTATGAGGAGGAAAGGAAGGGGTGTGTGTGTGTGTGTGTGTGTGTGTGTGTGTGTGTGTGTGTGTGTGTGTGTGTGTGTGTGTGTGTGTGTGTGTGTGTGTGTGTGTGTGTGTGTGTGTGTGTGTGTGTGTGTGTGTGTGTGTGTGTGTCTATGTATGGGTGTGTGTGTAGGGTTAGGGTTAGGATAAGTCTCCAGGAAATGCATGTAAGTCAATGTAAAGTCCCCTGAAGTGATGTATACATGGTGTGTGTGTGCATGCGTGTGTGCATGTGTGTGTGTGGGTATGGGTGTGTGTGTGTGTGTGTGTGTGTGTGTGTGTGTGTGTGTGTGTGTGTGTGTGTGTGTGTGTGTGTGTGTGTGTGGGTGTGTGTGTGTGGGTGTGTGGGTGTGTGTGTGTGTGTGGGTGTGTGTGTGTGTGTGTGTGTGTAGGCAGATGCTATAGGGAAAAAGCAGATAAGCAGCATTCCTCTCTATCAGACAGTAAATGGACCGGGATCGGGACACTGCTGGGTTAGAGGGGAGATGTTTTCACCTTCCTGTAGATATGCACAGGAAATACATTCATAAATATATATAAAAAACTGGAAACAAATGTCAAACTGCGCCCCAATATGTATCATGCATATTGTTAAGCCCGTCCAATTGTGTTTTTCCTATCACTATTAGATTTTGTACCAACTACCGTACCTATTTCAGACGGTCACTTGCACATAAACGCTTATATTAGTGCTGTTGAACTTTTTTTTAAATCACGTTAATCACAATAATGATCTGTGATTAGTCTTGATTAGGTTGTGCTGATTTCTCCGCTTTTTCACGGTCATATTATTAATTTAAAACGTTAAGGTTTCCAGAATACATTTGACAGCCCTAGTTTATATATATAATATTTATAATTTTCTTGCATCTACCCCATAAAACGACAACTTTAAATAAACAAACAAGATATATTGTCGCATGGTTATTAGATCTTAACAGGTGCTGGGAAACAGATGAACTACAGTAGCTTTGGCCAGAGCCAGGCTATGTCCTCTTGTTTCCAGACATTATGCTAAGCTAATAAGATGCTAACCATACCCTCACGTTTACTGTTTAGACATGAGACTGCTTTCAATCTTCTGAGCTAATTCTCAGCAAGACTGCGAATTAGCAAAATCCCAAACATTTGAACAAGTCCTCTGAACTTCAACATTGGTTTACACCTCCCTACAAAAGGACCCATGCATCAAAAGGATAATATTGTATAATACTTGAATGCAATTTGTTATTTATCGCTTTAAAAATGTAACAAACAGGTTATTTATTTCTGAGTGACACATCATGAGGGAGCAACATGGGTGTTCTCTACCTATCTCCATCAGGCAGCATCGCATCTATCAGCCTCTTCCCGTTCCTTTTCTACTCTCCTTCCTTTTTTATTATTCTATTTTTGCTCCCACTTCATTGCTCTTTGACTCCCCCGCTCTCTGAGTGGGTCTGATGAGGGATTTAACACACTTGAGTCACTGGTAGTGCTCGGCCCCTTGAAGCAGCTTTTCCTAAGTTGCCTCCAATAGCCCTGACAATGCTGATGTGTGTGTGTGTGTGTGTGTGTGTGTGTGTGTGTGTGTGTGTGTGTGTGTGTGTGTGTGTGTGTGTGTGTGTGTGTGTGTGTGTGTGTGTGTGTGTGTGTGTGTGTGTGTGTGTGTGTGTGTGTGTGTGTGTCGAAGGGCAATCTGGGGCACAATGCATAAATAAATAATGGAATAAGTCCACGGTGCATTTGGTGAAAAAGTGGAGTTCTCTACATTTAGTCTAAAATGGTTTCCTCTCCTGTGTCCTCTCCCAGGGGGTCATATATACAGCATGGGATCAGTGAAGGAGAGGAGAGGAGAGGAGAGGAGAGGAGAGGAGAGGAGAGGAGAGGAGAGGAGAGGAGAGGAGAGGAGAGGAGAGGAGAGAAGAGGAGAGGAGAGGAGAGGAGAGGAGAGGAGAGGAGAGGAGAGGAGAGAGGAGAGGAAGGAGAGGAAAGGAGACGATTCAGGACATGAGAAGAGGATACAAGGCGAGAAGAAAGGAAAGGAAAGGTAAAGATAGATCACTAGATGAGTGGAAAGGTGAGGATACAAGAGGAGAGGAAAGGAGACAATTTAGGACGTGAGAAGAAAAGAGGATACAAGGCGAGAGGAAAGGAAAGGAAAAGATAGATGAGAGGAACGGTGAGGGAGGGGATAAGACAAGAGGAGATATGAGAAGAGGATACAAGATGAGAGTAGAGGAGTAGAGGACACAAGACAAGGGGAGATGTAAAGAGAGGACACAAGACAAAAGGAAAGGACAGGAGGGGAGATGCGTTGAGAGGAGAGGATACAAGTTATAAAGGAGGCAAGTAGAGAAGAGAGTAAAGACAAGAGGAGATTTTTATAAGAGAGTAGAGGAAAGGAGAGGATGAGAGTAGAACGGACGATACAAGACGAGAGGGGAGGAAAGGACACAAGGCAAGACAAGAAGATACAAGACAAGAGAGAAGAGGACACGAGAGGAGAGAAGACAAGGAATGAGGGGAGAGGAAAGGATAGAAATCAAGACAAAAGGAGAGGAAAGGGGAGGACACAAAACAAGACCAAGGGAACGATACAAGACTAGACAAGATGAGAGGAGACAAGGCAAGAGGATATGACAAGAGAGGAGAGAAGAGGAGAAGTCGAGAGGAGAGGAGGATAAAAAAGATATAGGGATGATGTGTAAAAAGTTGTAGAAGGAGACTGATGCCTTTTGCTTTTTTTTGCGACTATCCAACAGACATCAAGCAACGAGCCAACAGAACCAGAGACTGTTCCCCTACACCCCCTCTCTCATTTAGGGAGGTGTAGGGGAAGTCAAGCGACTGACATTGATATGATGTGTGACTACTTCACTTAATCTACTAGCACAAGCACTGGCAGCTCGAGTTATAGAGAGCTGCTGCTCAGCATGTAGCTGCAGGGAGACTGGTTCAAATCAGCGGCCATGTTGGCTCCTCAGAGAGTCAGTATGACACTTACCTGCTCCCCGTCCTTCTGGACCGGCACGCCATCTCCCGCTGAGAGGAGGGGGAAGAGAAGGGGGAGGAGATACATTAATATTACTCAATCATGTCATTTAATCATTCCTTTATGTAAGTTAGATAAAGAAACAGGTACAAACATGAGACATAATGGAGACATGTGAAGTGGGACAGCACAGTAACCTATAGGAAGCTTGAGAACAGGGGCCCAGATATATCATTCATACATATTGAATTGAGAGAATTCACGTATTATACTGAACCATCACAACACAGAAACATATCCAACACTGCATTTCAGAAAGAGTGAACGTGTTTCCAACTCCACAGCCATTCAGCGTATTCTATCTCTGACAGATTTGCTTGACAAGAGTTGCTTTAACCGTTATGCTGTGTTCGGGTCTCCGTGACCCGTTTCAAGTTAAAATGATATAACAACTACGCTCTAGTTTTTTTTTTATCGGAACAAGGCTTCATGATATCCTCCACAACAGCTATATAAACACTACTGATTTTGACCATTTTAGCCAAGTCTGAAGGTCTCTAAAAAAAGAAGTGTATAATTTGGTGTTGGGGTCTGGGGAGACCCAGCAGAATTGTTTTGGGTGACTCTGGGTCAAATTTGGCCCAATCAAGATTCATCTTTGACTCTAGACACCCCTCCCCCTTCATCCACTGTAACAATAATTTGTCGCAACATGCACCTGGTCTCCCTCTGCCTCCCCTCCCCCCCACGGGAACAAGATCAACAATTCAACCCAGTCTCACGGCATTTCGTGTTCACCAACACGATTTTTAATCTATTGATTCGTGTTCACCAACACGATTTGCCCCTTTTTTTCGTGTTGCACAGCACGATTTTAAAAGCAATGTATTTCTACTGCCTGCAGCACGTCTTTTTCTCCGGTCGGGTCGAGGAAGACCGGAAGCTGTGTGGTTCATAAAAACATGTTCTTACTCAATATCAAGCCACAGTTATTGCTTTTATTTGAAATCGTATAATTTCGGACTTTTGTTGCCGTCTGTGAGGAAAATAAATGGGGCTCAGAGCCTCAGGATACTGAAATCTGTATTTTTTAAATCTTTTTTTCCTTCTAATTTGTTATTCTTTTCAAAATAACACACTGTTATTTACTCACCAATAACACACAATTATCCTTGCTTTTATGTATTGGTTTAATTCCATAATCTCTGGCTTTTTTGGCGTCCGTCAGGAACTGAATTTCAAAATAAAAATAACCGGAAACAGACGTAGGCATTTCGAGCGATTACCCAAGATCCTCAGCTATGGTTTTAAGCTCGTTTATTGGATGTTTTAGCCGCAATGCATGCTGGGATTTGGTGTTTATATGATATGAAATCCGGAAAACATTTTAAAAGAATAAAAGAATACTTAATTCCGAGCGCTCTTGCTTTTCTCTTTGAAAGTCATCACATAACGGCATTGTAATACACGGTTCGGCTGCATTGTATATTACAGATCTGCCGTAGTTCTTTATTTATAGAGCCCTGATGAGAAGACCTTTGGAAAAACTGAGAAAATGCCGCCGAAACTGAATACTTGACGTGGATCATAAATATATTCAACAATTAAACAACATCTTCAATTTCTCTTCACACAATACGTCTCCTTGCAGTATCAACACTAATTCGGCTGACTTTTACATTTGATCTAATTCACAGATAGGTTATATTTACACCATAACGGTGCACAGCTGATATAAAAGGACTGTAGTTTTTAAAGATATTACTGATTTTCTTTGAATGTAAGAATGTAAATACTGAGTCTGAAATAGTATAGCAATATGCTGTAAAATTATGTGAAAGCATGCATAAAACTACACATTTTCAGATGTTCTACGAAAACAAAAGTGTCCTACATTTATAATACAAAGTTATTATGGCTGTGTGTACCTTGTGTGCACCGCCTAGTGGTTAAAGCACGTTATTGAATTATTGTGTTTTATTTGATTAAAAAAATATTAAGAGTACATACTTTCATAGGAGGAAAGTATAAATATAGAATGTAAAAAATCAAGAAGATACTATAAGTGATCTCTACAATAAAACAGTTTA